TTACCCAGACTGTTTTTCTGGGTAAGTCAGAGGGCAGTCTCCATAGCAGATTTAATGTAGTTTTATCTCTGGCTCTAAATCTACCTGGACCTCAACTAGCCTGGCCTAGTGTCATGGTTTGAGCTCAGAAAGAAACTGAGCACCATGCAGCCACTCACTCTCTCCTTCCCCCCAGTGCTAAGGGAAAAATAAAAAAAGACACTGCTCACTCCCTGCTTCCCCCCTAGCACTGAGAAGAAGGAAAACAAAAGACCCAGGAAACTGAGATAAGGGCAGGGAGGGAGGATGTCATCCTTTAAGGCACAGGCAAAAGGTAGGGTTGTTAGGGGAAGGAAAAAAGAATGGAAATTTAATACAGACACTAACACCACTTAACAGAGCAGGGCCATGAGAAGCATTACCACTTGTTGAAAACACCTTCCCCCCTCTTCCTTCTTCCCAAGCTCAGCTTTGTTCTCAGTATCTCAACCTCCTTCTGCCCAGCAGCTCAGGGGTCAGGGGATGAGGGGTGCAGTCAGTCCTGCCACTTCTTCCACCTCAGAGCAAGGGGAAGTTCTGGCATTCCTCCCCTTTCTAGTGCGCTCCCCTCTCACAGGGGACAGTCCTCTGCAAACTCTCTCCGAGATGAGTCACTCCCACAGGCGTCTGGGTCACCCCCACATGTTGAAATCCTCCCTGTGCCAAACAGCAACACTGGGGCCTTCTTCCCATGAGGTCCCAGCCTTTCAGGTGCAGTCACCTGGGTCAGCATGGCCCCCCCTAACTGGCCACAAATCGGTATCTGTTTCACCACAGACCTCCATGGGTGGCGGGGGGCGCGCCCTGTTATCTCACCATGGGATACAGGGCAGTCTCTGCTCCAGTGCACCCTCCCCTTCTCCTCCTTTCTTCCGTTGACCCTGGTGTTCACACAGATATTCTCCTCGCAACTCCCGCCACTCCTCCCAGATTCCCCTTCTTAAATATGTTACTGCAGAGGTGCAGCTAATTGTCCTGGCCTTGGTGCAGAGGTAGGTCAAACTTGGAGTCGGGGAGCTTTGAGAAGCTTCTCAGAGGGGGCCACTGCTGCAGCTCCCTCCTCTGCTACCAAAAACACCTGCCACTCACTCAAACCAGGACACCTAGCTACAGAATTCTGACAACTGAGACATGTGTCAACACACTATAAAATAGCAATTTCATTTTAGGTTCCTAAACTGGCATCCAGTCATTTACATGACAGGAATATTAATTCCGACAATGACCAGTCAGTATAGTTATCACTGAATTAGACATGACAGCAGTTATGGCCACCTGTTTAGAGTTTTTAACAATAACATTTCATTATTCATTTGGCAGAGTCATATATGAATTATCTTCAAAGATATTTCAAAATGCTTTGGCAAGTCCTTGAAAAGAGCACTGCAATACTTCATGGATATTAAGTTTTGAAGGATCAATCAGCTCTCCAGAGAAACAGCTTTCAGTCTCATTACTCAAAATGCATTATTTTTTAAGTGCCAAGACCGACAAAATCATTGAATCCTAAGTAGTCCCTGCCTGAGACATTCTGCTGGGTGAGAAAATCCTGGGGAGACCAGCAGCAGCTGGTTCACAAGATAAAACATTCTCTTACTTGTGTCCAAATCTGCATCTCTGCAAGCTCAAGTATCAGCATGGCTGTGTGAGAACAGCAGTAGAACATGTTCTCAGCCAACATAGCACCCTTCTGCATCACCTCCAAGAGCTGCTCCAGAACATTCTTATACTTTACAACTTGCACCTTTGCATAGGCTGAAGATCTTGAGTGGTCAACTGCACGGCTTTTTCCTTCCCTTTTGCCTCCTCTTTTAAAAAGACCCAACTAGATGCTGGGTTCTGGATTTCAATTATTCTGAACAGGTTAAAGGTGCATGCTTTCTTGTTTTCCTAAAATTAGCAAGGCTTTGTGAAGGATGGACTCTTCTTAGATGGGAAGGTACCGCAAACGCAGGACCTGACTGTGGGACAGCTAGTGGGTTGGAGGCGAGAGTGAAGTTACTGTCCTGAAATGGTGCAGCATTATTCACCAAATCAGCTTCTTTTTCCAAATTACATCAGAATAGCAAGTGCATCACTGATTCAGGAAGCCAAAAGGCCTCTTTGTCGTGAAATGATCTTGCCTCAAGCAAGCACTGTTCTCTGCCATAAATAATTATTTATAACCCTGCTTACAGAATGCAAAGTGTACTGCACAATAAATAAGAGCCCTGCCATAATTGCTCTGAACCTTAGGGGGTTGCAGTTCTGTCATGTTGTATACAGACAAGTAAGTGCCCGTCCCACTTTGGGAAAGATACCATAAATGCTAAGCTAGCTGGAAGATCATACCCGGCATTGATAAAATCATCAATCAATAAAAGGATGCTATAGTATGTTTTGCTATGTTACATCCTTTAATAAAGGCGTTCAGATAAAAAACCTCTTTATTTGAACTTACCATAACACCTCTTGATGGACTGAGGCACAGCAGAGGGTTTTTTTGAGATAGAAAGGTTCTTAAACCGTAATTTATGAAATAATTCCAAAGTACATGGACAAGTAAGTGATTTCAAGGATGACATGTGAGCTAGGTGAAAATGACTAGCTCTTCAAACACACATGCAACAACCTTCACAGAGCCTACCTCCAGCACAACTGCTATTTTCAGGTTGCAGGAAGGGTTAAAGCCTTCAGAAAGGCTCAGCAGAACAAAATTAAGAGTTACCTGCATACTCTACCCATATATTTAAAACATTAAGGTAGCTTTCTTGTTGTGTGTTAGAAGTTTCAAGCCTGGGAAAATTCAGCACTGATTATCATAAGAAACCAGACACACATGTCTTGCACTCCTTCAGAACTTCACAGCTGAACTCTAAATTCTAGCTAGGTAACATCACAAACGTAGAAACTGCAATTAAGCTCTCTGCAGTCACGTTCACAGTCCTTCTATTTCTTTTTGTCCTTTTTACAGTGGAGCCTATGGTCCCTTGAAAGAGACTGCCAAACACAATCCTAGTAGTAATTAATTTAAACCTACTATCATAGTTACAAAGTGGCTCTCAGAAAAATTATTCTGTTTACAGAGTTTTGTTTTTGTCTACTTAGACTTGGTGCTAAATCACTGTTCTTTGTCTACTACAAGATTGAATCATGCTTGAACTTTTACTATACATATGCAACATTTAAGGTGATCAATACTTAAGCTGTTCATTTGCTCCAAACCATCACTTTTTGGAACAGGCAGATGTTGGTGAACATTTAAGCAGAAACATAATCATGAGGATGACAATATTTATCTGAACTGTGAGATTCCAGTCTTGCACAGAGTTCATCTACAAAAGGAAAGCTCAGTTTAGTTTAGCACCTGGTTTTGGTAAACCCAATATCATATAATGAAAATTAAGAATTGAACTCACTAATGATTCTGTTTGGCTGTAACATCAGGTTTCACATTTTTAACCAAGCTTCCTTAAACTGAAACAACTGGCTGTGATATAAGTTTTTTTTAAAAAAATCTTTTATCTTTAGGTTTTAAAACCTAATGCATTAAGGGAGATACAGTAAGAATGGAGAATCATAAGGACAAGGCACACCATTTTTTAGGAAGAGTGGTTTCTGGTGTACTTTAAAAGATGATTATACTGAACATATTTCAGACACAGTTAATAAAAGCCCTGACTTATAGAAACAATGTTTGTGGTAAAACAAGGCATGGCTACATTTCATTATTGCAAGAGGTACTTAAGAAACTCCACTACTAGTGACCTCTACTTCACACCAACAAGTAACTGGCCTGCATTAGTTAAGAAAAACACAGCACACTCAGATAAGGGGTAAAGAGTAAAACTGCAGGTATCAGTTAGTTTCACTGCGGATTTGTATTTGACAACAGTGCACAGATCACACGAGGATGTTCCCATTCTTAAGACCACCCACTGCACTGCCCTGGCACAGCTGTTCGTGCACCTCCACACATTCTGTAATGCCACATGATAGCTCTGCTCCCCGATTCAAGCTGTCAGACACCCAGGTAATCGGACACAATGCAGTGAGAGACCCAAGGGCACTAACAGTATTCTAGGATTACTTCAACTCACTCTGCTTTCAAACAAGAAGTAGTCACATAACCTGTACCAGAACAGAAATCAGTATTTCACTTCCTTCTATGAAAAATAATCAGTTTCACTCCTCTGAACTTGCTCAGCCACACTGACTCATCATTAGCCAAATATATTGCAAAGAAATCTTACCACAACATGTTCAAAGAGTAAGTAGGAAATTTTAAGACAAAACACTCCCACTTGAATAGCTGAAGAGCTCTGAAATTTCCTCAGATTAAGTTTTTATCTTTACTTTCTTTCGGGAGGTCCAAAAGTTGGTTACCTCTCTTAGATTTTATTCTATACATTGTTGAAGTATGAACTGAGCTAGTAATATCAGTATTATGACTACTGAGAAAAAGTACCATTCTTAGGGGAGATGGGGTACAATATTTCATCTGTTAATACAGTTAGTTTCCTTTACACTTCTTTAAAAAACGAAAGTGAAAGAAAACAAAAAACCCACAGGAATTGCACTGTAGCACTGAATGAAAGCAGAAATAGTTCCACATCCACGGTCATATTCTGTGCAGTAAGTGCCATTCAATAGCAGTATTTCTCTGACTAATCCCATATACACAAGGAGATTTCAACATTACTGTTGAGCATCAATGTCAGAACAATTACACAGGAGTTGACAACGTACCCTACAGTCAGACATTCCCTTGTAATACTTTGAACTCCTGTTTTATCAGTGAGCTTTCAAAACTGTCCAAAACATGACAGAAGCATATAAATATTGTAAGATTTAGTAAAATTTTACCTTAATAAGAATATCACCTTATTTCTATTGAAGTTTCTTAACACAAGCTTCATTTTTAGTTCAGCTAATACACGTCTCTTTTTAATCCTATGAAAACATCTAGTACATGAAAAAAAACCAACATGTTTTTTACATACCATTAGTTTCTGCAAATTTCTGAATATCAGCCAGAGTTTTTAGTTCTTTCCTTGGGCAAGCTGATACACACAAAGCAAGAGACTTGATTCTCTGATGTACTAGATCAATGTTGCATGGATCCAAGAAGAACACATACCTAGGGAAGAAAAAAAGGTAAATTCCTTCTATTTTAATTGTTACACTGAACAAAATAAATTTAATTTCAAACTAAAAGATTCAGCCAAGACTAACCTTCAGTCCACCCAGAAACTTGGAATTTGGAAATGTTCATAATTGTATGGGTCAAACAACATATACACCACAAATATATGGGTATTTATATACTTCTGGATGAGAGAAAGGATGTTTACGAGATTCAAGTCCATTCAAATGGTGTTGTTCTTAAAACCAGCAGCACTTCTACCATGCCTCTTCACTGATACATCTAAATATTCACAAACAAAGCTTCACTCCAAAATTAAACTTGACTTCAAGATTTCCAGCTTTTTCCAAAAAGACTCCTTAAGATTATACTTATGCTGCAAAAAGCCCGTGGCTGTTTTAATGAATACACATAATACCAGTAATTAAGAACATCTTCTTGGCTTAGATTGATTTTCTGCACCACTGGTCCATATGACTGAGCAGATTATTTTAGTATTTATTTTGAAATAAAAATTGTTCAGATATTTCAAGTAGAACTATCTCACGTTCCAGTGCAGTATTTTAAAGAGATTCTATTCGCTAACTTTCCATGATGAGTCACTGTCATTTAAAAACCCAGTGTGTGATGTTTTTAAACTAGCTAACACCTTCTTCTGACTATACACATTTAATCAAAACGCTAACACTACAGTATAGTCCATTCATGGTATAACACAGATGCAGAATGTTCGTCTATTCTGAAGTTGAACAAGCCTTTCAAATTCCTACAATTCTGGTGATATACTACTCATTGAAATACTCTCCTCATATTATCTAACATTATCTTAGGAAAACAACACCAAACTGCCATATAAATGACATTTCTATTTTTACAGTCCTCACAATTGGAATTCGTTCTGTAATCAAGAAAAATACCTTCTGTTCCTAGAGAGAATGTAGGTCCTGCCTGAACCCTTTTAGTCTATACACCAATTGCTATCTAACTTTCCCCCACAGAAAGACTGTTCTATTATCCAATCTCAGTATACAATAATTATTAGTATTTAGTACAAAGTCCATTAAAACTCATGTCATCTATAGCAGCTGTAATGTGGTAATACACTACTTGTATTCATAAAACATTCTCTTCCATTGCCCACACCTCTGTGAAAATTATCCAGTGCTATTTCTGTGTTTTTACTTAATACATACTACACATCTCAGGACTCCATAGATCATGCAAGACTAAGAAGCAAGCGCAAACATGAAAACTTCTGTCCCACAGACACAGCCTGAGTAACTAACTGCACATGAGCAATAAGCCACTAATTCCACAGTTTTCCTTTATTTCAAAAGAATACTAAAGGCTACCAAGACATACATCACTTATGTTAACTGGACACTCCTGCTATAGCTTCCTCTTCATAAGGGCAAGTTCCTGCAGTTGCTATTCCATACTGAAAGGGTAGGTGGAAGGAGAATGTCTGCTCCTTTGAGGCTATCTGGTCAAAGGAGCTACAAACAAGAATCTACAGAGTCAAACCTGACTGACATGTGGTAAGGGAGGTAAGCTGTGATGGAACCAAATCTGGTCAGTGGCACTAACTGGTGCAAGTGTGAAAATTCTTATCTTTCAGTAAGATTAGCTGGATAAGCACCTCACCAAACTGTAATGATAAGGAAAAGGAGGGAAACACTCAGACATAAAACTTGACCTATTAGTGTTAATGAAAACAATAACCAGAAACCCAGACAATCACAATAATTGATGGGCTATCAAGAAATTGCAGGCAGGGACTTTGCAACTGATAAGGATGCAAATCCAAAGATGCAGGATGCAGGAGTGGTCAGTGGGACTGTCAGCTGAGATGTGTGTGGGACAGCATTCAGAGAGGAATAAAGTGGTGGGCAGACAGAAAGGGGTGTAAAAGGGGACAGCTGCATTTAAGCCAGTGTTGGTCAGCACATTGGTCTGACCAAGCCTGACACCTGATCATCGCTGTTTGTTCTATCCTTCTACTAAATCCCTTCTTAACTCTCTGCATAATTCCAGTTTCTATCCAATGTGCATGGATGCTGCAAGTGCTGCAAGGACTAAGTGCTAGCGTGATGGATCTGGTGCCAACAACTGGACTCAGACCAGGGGTTTGGGTGCCCGAGGCCTGTTGTCTCAGCTACCAAAGTAAGTGGGGCCTCAGTGCCAGCGACTACGACAGGGAGGGGTCTTGGCTACCAGCCACTGGGATAGGAACAATGTGTGTCCCAAAAAAAAGCAGCTACAGAGGTGAAGGGCTCAGCGTAGGTGGCTGCCACAGGACTGTGGGTCACAAGCCTTTGGGGTGCTGGTGTCAGCAAGGGCTGAACATATGTATGGTCCCCAGAGTGGATGAGTGCATGTGTAACTCATGTTTGCTGGTGCATCAGCAAACTCCAAGATGTGCCAGCTGATGATTAGGAGGCTTTGGGTCCAGGCAGAGGTGTCACATGTGTGGAGGGTCTGTTTTGGTATTTGGGGTATCTGTGGGTGTTGTGGTTGTGGAGGAACAGCTGGAAAACAACGGACATATTATGAGCGATCCAGACCGAGTGGCCTTACTGTAACAACAGGCTGTAGCTGTTGTGAAGAACGCCTGCAAGGCCAGGGCGCTGAGAAACTGCGTGCGTAGCAAAGAGATAAGGAAGCTGGACTGTGGAAAACAAGATGTTTGCCTAGCAGGAGAATGGTGCGTGGACACCACACTGGGACCAATCATAGAGGACAAAAGGGCACATGGACAAGTAGCTTTAGCCTATTAGCAATCAAGTAGCTGCGTGTGTGCTTATGGTAGTCTATAAATTATTGTGTATTCTTTAATAAACGGGCATTGCTTGATCACATTGATCGTGTGTGTGTTCATCTCTCCCACATCAGGTGACCGAACAGCAACCCTCAGATTGGCACAAGCCTTCACCTGTGATGAGGACTCGTCGGCGAGCAATCTAAGGTGGGGAAAAGCCAGGTGAAACTGATCCAGACGCTTCCCCGGTGTCTGAAGGTGAGAAACAGAGCACTGTAACTTTAAGATCCGTGAAGAGGTGGCGGCCGTGGAGGAATGGGGTCTATGCTTACTAAAGACAAGCAAGCAGTGGTGAAAACTCCTCCAACATATACCCTCTGTGAGAGGATTATCTTATGATGAGGGGAACCTGAGGAAGTTGCTGTCACGGGCTGGATAGTACAGGCTAATCCCCACAGCAAGTACAGCCTTTGAAGTAGTTACTTGGGAAAAAATCTGCACGGCACTGTGGGACGATATTAGTTCAGGTTCCAAAGACTGTAGGAAATTCTCCACCATGTGGAGACTGACCTTAGAGACTCTGAAAGAGATGAAAGAACGGCAGACCATTGCCTCTGCTTCCACTGCCTTGTTAGCAGAAACGGAAGGCACTGGCATTAAGGATTCCGCTACTGCTGTGGCGTTTGCAGGATCCCTGTTCCCCAAGGCAGCTCCTAAAGGGAGGGGTGGGGATGCCTCACAAACAGCACCCGAGCAGCAGGAAATTCAAGAGCAAAAATCAAGATTCGCCACCGCCGCATGAGTCTCCCCTTTCAAGCTCAAGGGAATAATCCCCACCCCGCCCTGCTCCCGCCGCCTTTCACCTGAGCCTGTACAGGCTGCCGCTGCTGCCTTGGCAAAGGAAGGTGCCCGCCTCCCCCTGCCCCTGTCCTTGCCTCCGTCACCCCAAGTGATGTGTGAACAATATCGTTATGGCTTACAAAATCCACAGTTGCGAGAACTAATGAGAAAACTAGAGCAACTTCAAATGCGAATGAAGGAACTGTCTCACCTATTCCTATGGCACCGCCACCACCCCCTCTTGCTATTAACCCCTTTTTTCACAACAGTGCTGGGGGGGTGGTCAGGGGGAAACAGTGGCAATTAGGTCGCTTCCATTATTGGCTCAAATGGGAGGGGGAGCACTAGGAGGCACAGGTGATAAGGGTAATCCAGCACATCGATGGCAAGGAGTTATTCGGGATACAATAATTGAAAGTCAGTTTAAACAGCTTGGACCAGTGGTGTTTCCAGTAATAGTAACCCCACAAGGCAATGAAGGAGAGGTCTTAGATTTGAAAATGATTAAGGAGGCATGAAAGCAGTTGATCGACAGAAAATCACCTCTGAGAGGTGATCAACTTATACTCTCTAAGAGAGGGATAACTTATAACGAAACTTCTATGCAAAGGTTATTTAAATGGTGCAGAAACCACAGCCTTTGAAACAGCAAAATGGGCTGAAATAGGTGAATGGTTGTGGGATGCTTTTTCCAAAAGGGATCAGTATGCCATTGAGTTAGCAACTACTTGGAAGCTGGTTTTGCACACTCTTAAGGCGGAGTTGGCAGCGGCGGCCCAGCACCGCACTCTTGGCAGCCCCCACCCCCCCACCCACCAAAAGGAGCAGGTTTTTTACAGAGAAGGTGCTGACGTTGTCATGCAGCAATAACTTTATATATTCTTAATGGTATTTTGATATTTGTAGTATTTGTCATTTTATGTTGTGTCAGTAATAAGTGTAAGGGGCCTCTTTGTGTGGTTGTGTGATTGTTTTGCGTGTGTGAGATGCAGCCCAGCTGCAGCTGTGGAGCGCGGAGTTCTCTGACCTGTGAGGGAAACAGCCGGGGAGGAACGAAGCACAGAGCAGACTCTGTACCAGTGCAGGATGAGTGAACATTCCTTAGTGCAGAGCCCTAGTGCTCGCCCCCTAGGTCATCAGTGCTGCTGTTTATTCTGGCTAAGTGTTTTAACGGTAACATTGGAAATAACTCCTCTAGTGGGAGGCAGTAATTCTGTGTTAATTGTTGTCTTGAATCTAGGTGCATACTCTGAGAGGAGAGTGCACCTCTGTACCATCTGCCTGATGGAAATATTGTCAAAAGATCATCTACAACCTTACAGGGGTTGTAGATGATGATTATGAAGGGGAAATCAGAATTATGGCCTGGATCCATGTGTTCAGTAACAAAAGGATC